TTGTGATGGCATCCCTCTACCTGGGGACAGGTCCTTTGGAGCAGGAACTGGTAAGGTTTATGGGGAGGCATTCCTAGCAGCGACAGTGAACTGGCTCCAGTGCGTCCCGGCCTGTGGGGTTGGTGCAGAGCTGTCTTTCTGTGGCCTCCATCTCAGAGCCAGCTCTTATTTTTGTGGCCTCAGCTATGGGCATATCAGGAGGGCTGGGGAGGAAGGTGAGAGGAGGCCTAATCTGGACCTCTGGCCTTACTGCCCAGTGTCCTCCTCGCCCTGCACGGGACACTCTAGACTGCTCTGTCTACCAGTCTAGGGCTCGGCAGACTGCGGCCCACTGGCCCAGTGTGGCCTGCCACTTGTTGTTTATGGCCTATGAGCTGAGAGTGCTTTTTACATTTTCAAATGATTGGGGGGGGGGAAAACAAGAAAAAGAATATTTTGTGACTTATGAAAAATATGTGAAATTCAAATTTCTGTTTTCATAAAGTTTTGTTGGAACACAGCCATGCTTATTCATTTGTGTGTTATCCTTTGGCTGTTCTCATGCTGCGACAGCAGAACTGAGTGGTTGTAACAGAGACCATCTGGCCTGTAGAGCCAAAATATTTACTATCTGGCCTTTTTCACAAGAGGTTTTCTGACCCTGTACTAGACAAACAGACCTGGGTGCTGGTCAGGCTGGCTGGTTTTGCCAATGGCTGGCGTCAGGTGCTAGGCCTGTGGCCAGCCTTGTTCTACCTAGACTTGCTGTCATGCCACACTTGTCATTCACAGTGAGATGGGGAGGAGAGGGAAGGAGCCAGAAGTCACCAGGTTTGTATGAGGGTTGCTGCTTGTGGTATGGGCCAGAGCAGGTTTTGGTGCTCCAGCAGAACCTAAAGTTGAGTCGAAGTGAATGTGTAAGTGACATCATTACTTTGTTTTGGTCTCCTGGGGTTGCCTTCTGCTCAGAGGTAGTAAAACGGGCCCATTGCCCATAGTAAATGTTGTTTCTTGGTCCATCCTTGTTTAGAAACTCACAGGTGGGAGCTGGAAGGATTGGAGTGTGGAGGAAGAGGGGGAAGGACGGTTAACACACGTGCTTCCCCCCTCTCCTCTCTCTGCCTCTCCCTCTATTTTCGGGACACAACCTTAGCTGCAAGTTTGGGAAGCTTGTTTGTTCTTGTGGGAGAAGAATGTAATGTCCAATGCATGGAGAATAGCCAGTGGGCAGGTTATGTCTTGGATCCGTTCTTTCAGCAAATATGTACTGAGTGCTCTCCAAGAGCAGGGCGCTGTTTGCTGTGTGACTGTGAGGATTATCTGTGTTGAAATGTGTGGGAGCTGGTGTCTTAGTGTTTCCAAGAGTGGCAAGGTCCAGCCTGCTCGGGCAGCACGCCCCTGCCTCAAAGACCCCCTCTCTTCCTGGGTGCCCAGGCTCGCACCCAGGAAGGTGGGTGCTGGGTGGCTTCTGATGGTCCTGACGGAGGCTGTCCTCACGGAGAGCTGTCGAGGGGTTGGTGTCCGAGTGCCGATGGTGCAAACCTGTGTTCAGGGGGATGTTGAGGACGTTAGCTGACAAGTCGATTTGTTTTTCTAAATATACAAACGTCTTTTTGGCTTTTATACTTCTCTTCTTTTGGATTCTTTTCTTGATAGGTGGATTGCCTGGAAAGTGCTCTGGAAAAGTCAGTCCAAGCAAAGTTTCCTTCAGACCTCAAGGTCTCCATTCTCTTGGACTTCACACGGGGCTCCAGAGGTAGGTGGTATGTGCGCCAGCCCCCTGGCTCTTCCTCTCTCAGATCCTCAGTTTGAGGAGTGGCACTGTCACTTCCCCGAGCTCAGGCAGAGACGAGGCTGTTTGAGGATGGTGTTGGCTGGGCTGGGACTGCCTCGTTATCTGAGTCAGGCTTCCTTCTGCAGCAAGTGACGGAAAGCCCAGCTAAAACTACCTGGGCGAAAAAGAGACTTTTTTTTTTTTTTGAGACAGAGTCTCACTTTGTTGTCCAGGCTAGAGTGAGTGCCGTGCGGTCAGCCTAGCTCACAGCAACTCAAACTCCTGGCTCAAGCGATCCTCCTGCCTCAGCCTCCCGAGTAGCTGGGACTACAGGCATGCGCCACCATGCCCGGAGTAGCTGGGACTACAGGCATGCGCCACCATGCCGGCTAATTTTTTTTTTTTTTTTGAGACAGAGTCTCGGTTTGTTGTCCAGGCTAGAGTGAGTGCCATGGCATCAGCCTACATCACAGCAACTCCAAACTCCTGGGCTCGAGCAATCTCCTGCCTCAGCCTCCCGAGTAGCTGGGACTACAGGCATGCGCCATGCCGGCTAATTTTTTATATATATACAATTGGCCAATTAATTTCTATTTATAGCAGTGACGGGGTCTCGCTCTTGCTCAGGCTGGTTTTGAACTCCTGACCTTGAGCAATCTGCCTGCCTCAGCCTCCCAGAGTGTCTTTGCTTCTTTTCTAACCACCTTCCTTTTTAGATACATAAAATTGTCGCTTGAAGGTTGAGTCTCCACAATGAATCTGTGAAACCTAATTGGCTTTCAGCTCCTTCTCTTCTCTAACAAAAATAAACCTGTCAGTACACAGATTAAGTGGGAAGCCAACATAAAAAAGCCTTCTGTAACTCTTGGATGGAGGCCCTGGTGGAACATTCCCAGGGAGAGCTGCCTGGTAGGAAAGAGACCTGCCTACGGAGCCGCAGGGTGCTGGGGCTGGTCCAGCCTGGTACCTGCCACAGTGGCTCTCTCCCAGGCAGGGCAGGGGTGATGGGTGGACCCTGACACCTGGTAGACTGTGTGTGTGTGTGTGTGTGTGTGGGTGTGGGTGTGGGTGTGTGTGGGTGGTGCTCTCTGGGCTATTGAGGCCTTCAGAGGTTTTTCTCTGGAGAGTGGTTTTTGCTAGTTCCTCTTCTATTTGCTCATACCTTTCCTTGCCCGGAGCACCCCCACCCCTTTCTGCATTTCCTGTTTGAATTCCACAGATTATTCAAGGCCCATTCAGGATAGGCTGCTGTAAAACCTCCCCAGTGGCTCAGGCATGATCATTTGTAGCATATGCACTGGACATTTTGACCTTGATTTCATTAACTTTAGCATTTCCTCTTGTGTTTTTAGAGCATTTCAGATGTGTAGGTCTGTTAGGCTACCAAGGTTGTGAGAGGCAGAGAATGTACCTGGTTCTTCATTTGTACCCTTCAAGGTACACAATAGGTGCTCACGTGATAACCTGAATTGAGGCTTAAGTTGACACTTGCCCTCCTCTGGGTTGCTGTGTGCCAAGGAGGGTTTCCTCACCTTTTTGGGAGCTGGTTTGTGTTTCTGGGCTCCTAGGAAGGCCACTGCAGGACTGCCCATGTGGTGTGGAGTGGCGCAGGCAGTGCCCTGCTTCTTGTGTGGTCTGAGGAATGGCAGCAGTGCTTGGAGACAGGGCAGGTGTTGATCTTACCCTGCTGTCGGCCTTCCCCAACAAACAGACTGTGTTTCACTGACGGATAGTAGATGTTAGGCCCCTCTGGGGCCTCAGACAGGTTGCTATGCACCCTTCCCATTGTCCCATGGTTTTCCGGTGGACTGAAGGATCCTTCCTTCTCTGTGGCCCATGGTTTGGGAAATCCTTTGTTCACACAGCTAGACCTTTAGTTTGCAGGTCTGTGCCCATGAGTGGCATCACCGCCTCTAGAGACAGCGGGAGAGAGCAGCTGCTTCCCCAGCTCTGCTCTGGAGGGCCGGGGCCAGTTTCAGACTTCCAGGTTCCAGAGGGCCGGCACCTCTTGCTGTTGACTAAAGTTTTCTTGGCAGTGAATCGCCACTACAGGCCGGTGGGCTTTCTGGGAAGCACAGCTGCGGGCCATCTGGCGTCTGTGCAAGGACATTTATGAACCCTGGGAAGATGCAGTGCTTTATCATGAAGCGAGCAAGTGAAATCATCTTCCTGGAATTTGTGGCCATTCAGGCTGTGGGGTATTTGAGCATCTTTTCCTCAGAGTCTCTCTTAATGTTACACATCGAAGAGGATTTTCCTGCTGCTGTTTGCGGGACTGGAATTCAAAGTCGCGTTGGGTCTGGGTGTGCAGTCCCTCCAGCCCATGCCCTGTAGGTGTCTCAGTCACCGAGCAGCAGAAACGTGGCTCGTGGGCAGAGCCTCATCTCCTCCAGGCTCAGCCTCAGTGGAGTGCGGACTCTGCCAGGGCTGAGCTTTGTGTAGTCAAGCTAGTGCCAGTCAGAGATGGGGTGCAGCCCCCAAAAAGGATGTATCTGTTGGTAAAGGGGCACTTCTCGTCATCTCTCTGGAGATGAGCTCCTTTTCTCCAGCCTCTTCCTGTTCCAGCTTTTCTCTCCAAATCTGAGTTTTAAAGAGAAAAAATTATTTTTCTGGGTCTTTCTTTGAATAGAAACCCTGTTTATCCTATGAATGATACAACTAGGGATCTGGGTTGTGATTGTCAGACTTCTGCCAGACTTACCCTTGTTCCAATTGGTCCCTCCCTCCCTCCCCCACCCCCCAGGCTGGAGTGTGGTGGTCTCATCATAGCTCACAGCAACCTCAAACTCCTGGGCTCAAGCGATCCTCCTGCCTCAGCCTCCCGAGTACCTGGGACTAAAGGTGCTACTGCTCCAAGCTGATTTTTCCATGGATATCTTTCCATGCTGTCTGCACACAGATGTTTTTTGAGTTGGATTTGTTAGGAGGTGGCATTGTTAAAACTATGTGGTGGCTTTTGTGAGTTGACTTCTGGCTGCTCTAAATTTGGTCCCTGAGTTTGGAATCAACTTAAAGTTTGGGGTTTATCCACAGACATTGACACTTTTTGAGTTGTTCAGCTAGAAGGCTAGTACGAGGAAGGAAGGCTGAAGGAAAAACCCTTTTGCAGAGCTTGACTTGGGCTCACTTTAGAAAATCTGAAAGTAGCCAAGAAAACCCCCTCCTCCTCGCCCCTGCCCCCAACCTGAGAGAGGCATCTGCAGAAGTATTTGAGGAGTATAACCCACTCGCATGTTTCCTTAACCAGGTCACCATGGCTGCTGTTGGCTCCCCTACTGTCTCCAACTGTTCCCCAGGTCACCGCCCCACCTTGCTGCCTGTGTCCAGAGGGCGTGCACAGGTTCCAGTGGATCAGAAACCTGGTTCCAGAGTTCGGAGTCTCCAGTTCTCACGTCAGGGTGCTTTCTTCCCCAGCAGAGTTTTTCGAGCTCATGAAGGTGAGTAAGTTGTGTCTAAAGGAAAGAAGTCCTAGTTAGAGGTTTTGGGGATCGGATTGGTGAGTCCTGAATGCCTTCTGTCCTGGCAGCTTTGGATGCTGCTCAGCTTACTCCCTCACGGTTCTACCGGTTAGGTTGCAGTGTCACAGATAGTTGCATTGAGCCTCAGTCAGAAGCTCACCTGTGGCGCCAGCCTCTCAGAGAAGGGAACAGTGAGGACAGAGGCATAGGCTTTGGTTCTTGTGGACACATCGATTCCCTTTGTTGTATGTTGAAATTGTAGGTCACTAGAAGGGAGGTTGGTGAGGACATGTGGGCCACATGGGAACGTCCCTGGTGAATGTGCTAGGGGAGAAATGAACCCCTGTCTAGTCCACATCTTGGACCCCTGCTCCTGGAAACATCTCCAAATACAGTAGTGTCATCTTAGTAGGTGTAATATCCAGATGTGAAGACCCACAGGTGGGAATTGATATGTATGAAGAGGCATTTAAAGATAACTGGGAACCTGGATGTCCTGGTTTCAGGAGTTGTAGTCCTGGTTCTATTTCAAGTGTGTGCCTTCCCACTTTGCATTTGGGGGCTCAGCTGTCAACATGTTACTCAGGTTTACATACTACGTCTAGTTATTCTGGTTAAATTGCTAATTGGAATGAAGTAATTCAACACTAATTAATTTTTAACAACATGAACTCTGAGTTCACATTAGCAATGATGTTAGAATGAAGGTCTGTTGAGGCTGGGCAGGCAGAATGCTGGGAGGTAATAGAAGATATAGGTAGAGATTCATCTTCGTGCAGAAAAAAATGACCTCATTCTTTTGAGTGCCTGCCCATCTTCTCTTCTTTGCCCTCTTGTTCTGTTGATCCACACTTAGCTTAATTTCTGGCTGGCTCCTTCTAGAATGCATCTGTGTGTGGCGCGTGTGCACATGGGCATGTCCTTTTGTTCTCCCCCTCACCCGCCTCCCCGCACTGCTTGCCTTTGCATCCTTGTTTGTGTAGAATGATGCTGCAACTGTTTGCTCTTTGCTCCTACTTGGTTCTCTCCTTGGCTTGAAGAAACAGGTTTTTCAAAGGCAGTTCTTCTTAGTGTCCTAATAAGCTCCGGGTGAATGACTCTGTCTCCACATTATGGTCCTCTGGCAAGGAGTCTGGGCCACACTATGCACCTGCCTGGGGTGGGTGGTCCTTAGGAGGCCAATAAGGGGGAGAGGGGCTTCGTCCAGCAGGCTGGGAAGAAGCCAAGGCTTCCCTTTTCTGCATTCGAGGCTGAATCGTGGGTGGATTCTCCTGACTGGCATTATGTTGAGTAGCATGTCTTCCCGGGACAGACAGCAAAAGTAGAGGACAGCATTGGTTCCTGCCTGGCCCTCATGCCTTTGTTGCAGCCATGGTTGTCCTGTAGGATGTAGTGTCCTACAGCAATGCATATGTTTTGGTTGCCTGGACTAAGTTGCCTTATACCCTTTTTTTTTTTTTTTTTTGAGACAGTATTGCTTTGTCACCCTGGGTAGAGTGGCGTCATCATAGCTCACTGCAACCTGGGTTCAAGTAATCCTCCTGCCTCAGCCTCCCGAGTAGTTGGGACTAGCAGCATGCCATGATGCCTGGCTAATGTTTCTGTTTCTAGTTGAGACGGGGTCTCGTCTTTGCTCAGGCTGGTCTTGAACTCCTGAGCTCGAGTGATCCTCCCACATTGGCCTCCCTAAGTGTTAGGATTACACGTGTGAGCCACCATGCCTGGCTCCTTATGCCTTTTTTATTTCTCTTTCTTCATAGTCACCCTACAAGCATCTAATTTGTAACAAAACAAAGGGAAATAGCAACCTTGGAAATTTGTTTTGTTTTTTCCTTGTTCATAAATTTTTCTCATTGGTGTGTTCATGTGTTCAGATGCCCGTCTTCTGTCTTGAATTCAGGCTGGGCTGTTGATGCCCGCTTTGATAGGGAAGCAGACATGCCAACATCTGTCCTCTCCTCTCTCCTTGTTCTCCGTGTATCTTGGTGCATTGCCATTCTCTTCGCCCTCGCTACCCATCTCTGTGGCGGGGCTTGCTGAGAGCTTTCAGAGATGGAATCGGTGTTCTCCCTTGGGCTTGGAGCAATGTTAAGGAGAGGGACCCTCTATTAGGACTTGATTCAGTGGTGTCACCGGTTTACCACTACGGTGTTCTGTTTGTGTGTCTGGTCACTGATGATAACTCATAATTTTTCAAAAGGTAACAGCTCTTACAAACAACGAACGGCCTCAGTAATGTGTGAGTAGAGTACAGATTTGATCCATCGCCCTCTTCCCCTTCAAGCACCAACTCCCCTGGCACCTCGCCAACAGTTGTGCATGTTCAGTTAACCAACTGAATGCATGTCACACACGTGCACAGCTGTAAATAGGTGGGAGCGTGGGTTGCATTCTGTGGAGTAAGTTTGCTTTTCTCATCCAACAATTGGGCAATTCATGTACGTATGCACCAGCATCAATCCATCATTTTTTTTCTTCAATTTCTTTTTTTTTTTTTTTTTTTTTGAGACAGTCCTTGCCCAGGCTAGGAGTGAGTGCCGTGGCGTACAGCACTAGCTCACCAGCAACCTCAAACCTCCCCTGGGCTCGAGTGATCCTCTCTGCCTCAAGCCTCCCGGGTGAGCTGGGACTACAAGCACCATCAAAGGCAATCTTTATTATATATATCAGTTGGCCAAATTAAATTTCTTTCTATTTATGTAGAGACGGGTCTCGCTCTTGCTCAGGTCTGGTTTCGACTCTCCTGACCTTGAGCAATCCGCCCGCCTCGGCCTCCAAGAGCTAGGATTCAGGCGTGAGCCAGAGCGCCGGCCCTCTTCATTCTTTTTAATTGCATTTTGTAGTAGCTAAGACTAAACTATGTGAGCTGAGTCTTTAAATTAGGGTTGTGAGTCTTTATGGTAGGTTACTATATACGTTTTGGGCTTGCTCTTAAATATTAATTGGTGAAGACATAGGACAGTTTAGCTTGGAGTGTGATTTGCCTCCAAGGTCAAGGGGTTGTATTTTTTTTAGGAAACTATGAAAATGATGAATGTGAATTTTGAATTTTCTCTTCTTTCAGGGACAGATAAAAGTAGCCAAGAGGCGGGTTGTGATGGCATCCTCTACCTGGGGACAGGTCCTTTGGAGCAGGAACTGGTAAGGTTTATGGGGACATTCCTAGCAGCGACAGTGAACTGGCTCCAGTGCGTCCGGCCTGTGGGTTGGTGCAGAGCTGTCTTCTGTGGCCTCCATCTCAGAGCCAGCTCTTATTTTTGTGGCCTCAGCTATGGGCATATCAGGAGGGCTGGGGAGGAAGGTGAGAGGAGGCCTAATCTGGACCTCTGGCCTTACTGCGCCCAGTGTCCTCCTCGCCCTGCACGGGACACTCTAGACTGCTCTGTCTACCAGTCTAGGGCTCGGCAGACTGCGGCCAGCTGGCCCAGTGTGGCCTGCCACTTGTTTTTTGGCCTATGAGCTGAGAGTGCTTTTTACATTTTCAAATGATTGGGGGGGGAAAAACAAGAAAAGAGAATATTTGTGGACTTATGAAAATATGTGAAATTCAAATTTCTGTTTTCATAAAGTTTTGTTGGACACAGCCATGCTTATTCATTTGTGTGTTATCTTTGGCTGTTCTCATGCTGCGACAGCAGAACTGAGTGGTTGTAACAGAGACCATCTGGCCTGTAGAGCCAAAATATTTATATCTGGCCTTTTTCACAAGAGGTTTTCTGACCCTGTACTAGACAAACAGACCTGGGTGCTGGTCAGGCTGGCTGGTTTGCCAATGGCTGGCGTCAGGTGCTAGGCTGTGGCCAGCCTTGTTCTACCTAGACTTGCTGTCATGCCACACTTGTCATTCACAGTGAGATGGGGAGGAGAGGGAAGGAGCCAGAAGTCACCAGGTTTGTATGAGGGTTGCTGTTGTGGTATGGCCAGAGCCAGGTTTTGGTGCTCCAGCAGAACCTAAAGTTAGTCGAAGTGAATGTGTAAGTGACATCATTACTTTGTTTTGGTCTCCTGGGTTGCCTTCTGCTCAGAGGTAGTAAAGGGCCAATTGCCATAGTAAATGTGTTTCTTGGTCCATCCTTGTTCAGAAACTCACAGGTGGGAGCTGGAAGGATTGGAGTGTGGAGGAAGAGGGGAAGGACGGGTTAACACGTGCTTCCCCCTCTCCTCTCTCTGCCTCTCCCTCTATTTTCGGGACACAACCTTAGCTGCAAGTTTGGGAAGCTTGTTTGTTCTTGTGGGAGAAGAATGTAATGTCCAATGCATGGAGAATAGCCAGTGGGCAGGTTATGTCTTGGATCCGTTCTTTCAGCAAATATGTACTGAGTGCTCTCCAAGAGCAGGGCGCTGTTTGCTGTGTGACTGTGAGGATTATCTGTGTTGAAATGTGTGGGAGTGGGTGTCTTAGTGTTTCAAGAGTGGCAAGGTCCAGCCTGCTCGGGCAGCACGCCCTGCCTCAAAGACCCCTCTCTTCCTGGGTGCCCAGGCTCGCACCCAGGAAGGTGGGTGCTGGGTGGCTTCTGACGGTCCTGACGGAGGCTGTCCTCACGGAGAGCTGTCGAGGGGTTGGTGTCTGAGTGCCGATGGTGCAAACCTGTGTTCAGGGGGATGTTGAGGATGTTAGCTGACAAGTCGATTTGTTTTTCTAAATATACAAACGTCTTTTTGGCTTTTACACTTCTCTTCTTTTGGGTTCTTTTCTTGATAGGTGGATTGCCTGGAAAGTGCTCTGAAAAGTCAGTCCAAGCAAAGTTTCCTTCAGACCTCAAGGTGTCCATCTCTTGGACTTCACACGGGGCTCCAGAGGTAGGTGGTATGTGCGCCAGCCCCCTGGCTCTTCCTCTCTCAGATCCTCAGTTTGAGGAGTGGCACTGTCACTTCCCGAGCTCAGGCAGAGATGAGGCTGTTTGAGGATGGTGTTGGCTGGGCTGGGACTGCCTCGTTATCTGAGTCAGGCTTCCTTCTGCAGCAAGTGACGGAAAGCCCAGCTAAACTACCTGGGCGAAAAAAGAGACTTTTTTTTTTTTTTTGAGACAGAGTCTCACTTTGTTGTCCAGGCTAGAGTGAGTGCCGTGGCGTCAGCCTAGCTCACAGCAACCTCAAACTCCTGGGCTCAAGCGATCCTCCTGCCTCAGCCTCCAGAGGCTGGGACTACAGGCATGCGCCACCACGTGACCGGCTAATTTTTTTTTTTTTTTTTTTTTTTTTTTTTGAGACAGAGTCTCGGTTTGTTGTCCAGGCTAGAGTGAGTGCCATGGCATCAGCCTAGCTCACAGCAACCTCCAAACTCCTGGGCTCGAGCAATCTCCTGCCTCAGCTCCCGAGTAGCTGGGACTACAGGCATGCGCACCATGCCCGGCTAATTTTTTATTATATATCAGTTGGCCAATTAATTTCTTTCTGTTTATAGTAGAGACGGGTCATCACTCTTGCTCAGGCTTGGTTTTGAACTCCTGACTTGAGCATCCGCCCGCCTCGGCCCCAAAGTAGGGATTACAGGCGTGAAGCCAGCGCGCCGGCCGAAAAAGAGACTTTTTTTGACTCTTGGGACTGGCCTGCTTTGGGTGGGTTGTGATTTGGTGTTTGGATATTTCACTAGGATCCATCTCCTGGTCCTGCTTCTTTTGGGCTGGCTTTATTCTCAGGCACAGTATGGTGGCCTTTGGTGGCTGAGGCCTGTATCCTCATGACCTCTTGTCCATAGGAGGAGAATCTGCTTCCCTGAGAGTCAGGTCAGAGCTCCCAAGTGGCCTGCCATGGCTGTGTGCCCAGCACTGAGTCAACTGGGGTTGCCAGGGGCTTGGAGTGTGCTGAGTGGCTGTGCCCGGGCCTGTGTGTTCAGTGGAGCTGGGAGTGAAGGGTCAGGGTTGGGTAGAGTTATCTTCACCCGGAGCAGAATTCTGAGAGTAGGGGTGGGGTACGGTTATAGGAAAGAGTGTGTGCTGGGTGGCAAAAACAGTAGGTGTCCACTACGCTGAGCACTCCCTGCCCTGAGTGGGGCCAGCAACCAGGTAGAAGTTAGTCTATAGGTCCCCCGGCTAGAAATGGTGCCAGTTGGTGGGACTGACGCAGGTGGGCAGTGTGGGTGGAGGGCAGCGCCATTCCTCACTGGCAGGCAGGACGTCTTTCCTGGTGTGAATCACCTGTCCGTTTCCTCTGTTCCCACATATGCAGGCAGGAAGAACTCGCGCACAATGCTGCTCCCACTCTTGCGAAGGTTTCCGGAACAGGTCCGAGTGTCCCTTTTTCACACGCCAAACCTCCGTGGACTTCTGCGGCTCCTCATCCCTGAGCGCCTCAACGAGACCATCGGCCTCCAGCACATTAAGGTGTACCTCTTTGACAACAACGTCATCTTGAGCGGGTGAGTGTGCTCCCCTCTGTCGGTGATTCTGCCTAGTGCTCTCCAGGGCGGAAGTCAGCAGAATAAGGAGAGAGGAACATCTTTCCCCGTAAACCTTGGAGAACCTGCTCGTGTGCCTGGTGGCCGTGCACTCGAGGCATTGCCCGTGGCGCTGCCTCTGCCACGAAAGCTGGAAGCCCACAGGGACTGATAGGAAGATAGTCACCATTTATTGGGCGCTTACTGTGTGCTGGCCACTCACGTGTACCATCTCAATTTTCACAGTCACTCTATGTAGTATTTTCCTCATGATATACATGCAAAAACAGATATCAGAGAGACAAATAACTTTGTCAGAGCTGGAAAAACAAGCAGGAGTCGGAGCCAGGATGGAAATACAGGTCCTTTTGCTTCTAAAGCACGGGCACTGGTAGGCATGTGTGGTTATTGGCTTGATGTCTGCATCTCCTCTTCTCAACCAGATTGTCAGCTCTGTGAGGGGAGGAGCCTTGTGGTCCACTTTTCTGTCACCTCGGTGCCACTCTTGCCTTGTCTCGTGACATGGTCATTGCTCAGGAGCTCTTTGTTAATTGTATCCTGACCTGAGTTTGTCACTCCCCTCCTAGTTCACCTGAGACCTGAGTCAGTAGGACACTCTGCTGCTCCCTTGCCCGAGTCCTCACCTGCTTCTTCCCTCCCTGTAGCGCAAACCTGAGTGACTCCTACTTCACCAACCGCCAGGACCGCTACGTGTTCTTGCAGGACTGCGCGGAGATTGCCGACTTTTTCACAGAGCTGGTGGACGCAGTGGGGGATGTGTCCCTGCAGCTGCAGGGGGATGACACAGTGCAGGTGGTGGATGGGATGGTGCATCCTTACAAAGGTAGGGGCCTGTTGCTGCCCCCCTCTTGCAAGTGGTGGGTGGGATGGGGTGAGGGCCCAGAAGAGCACACCTGGGTGGCCTTGCTGCGGGCATAGGAGACTTGTGTTGCAGTGCCTCATTCTGCTTTTGTCCGTGAAGCCAGACAGATGTGACTCACTGACCATCAGTCATGCTCTGCGGTGGACTCGGGGCCTGAGTGCCTGGGCGAGTGAGCCGGGAGCCTGCCCTGACTTACAGGAAGCAGCCTGCCTAGCGACTGTCCTCCTTGGGCCAGTTCCCCAAACCTCCTATCACACGGGCCCTGTGGCTCTCAGCTCCCTTGAGGCCTGTGGCCTCCTGCCTGGAAAGTGAAGTGGGACAGCTCCAGCTCTGTTCGCTGGTAACAGGCAAGTCCTGGCCTGAGCATTCCGGGCCATTTGCATTCCTGTGATTCCTGTGGCTGTGGCTTCCCTGTGGCCCTTAAAGGGCTACTGCTGAATTTGCAACAGTGCCCACAACTTGGGGAAGGGGGGTTAAACTTGGACCGTGTGAGAAGAACTCCCTGCATCCTGCGACCTAGAAGGACCTAGAAGGGAAGGACCTAGAAGGGAAGGACCTAGAAGGGAAGGACCTAGAAGGGAAGGACCTAGAAGGGAAGGACCTAGAAGGGAAGTGTCTATGTGGGGCTGCCTGGTAGAAGCCCCGTCCCTGTGCTGGGGGAGCTGTGGGCTGCTGAACCGGGCTCAATCTGTCTTGCCTGTTTTTTTATAAATAAAAAACTTGTGGATATCTGTTTCCTCTTGTTATAAATGGATGTACATATTATCCTCAATTTTGTGTTTTGGCTCACAAAGCCTAAAATATTTACTATATGACCCTTAAAGAAAACATTTGCAGACCCGTCTAATATAACATGCCAGCCATGAACATGAGGGGAAATGGTTCCCTGCTCTCAGGGAAGGATGAGGGGTGATCAGGGCAGGAGTGGGGGTGCCGGCATGCACAGCTGTGCTCAGGAGAGTGGCGTGAGCATGTGGAGAGGTGCAGGGGTGCTCGTGGCCCTGGCGTTCCTTCGCCCCGCAGCCGTGGCCAGCATGGAGCATGTGGCTGTGTCCCTCCCCTGGCAGTTGCTGGTGTCCACAAGGATGGATTCCTGCACAGGCCGGTCCTTTCCTTTGTTCCATAGCCCAGCCCTGAAAGGCACCCAGGTGTCCATTCCTGCTGTTAGCTCAGACTGTGTGAGCGAGGAAGGATGACCCAGGACAGCACTCCTTCCCTGTTTTGCTTTTATTCCTCATCAGCCTTGCCCAAAGGCTTGTTATTTTAACCCTCTTTTCTGAGAATCAACTTTTGACAGTGTTGATATTTGCTATTTTTGTGTTGTTTTCATTCTATTAATTTCTATTATTTTTATTTCCTTCTTTATATTGTATTTTTAGTTTTATCCTACTATTTTTTTCTCCTGACTTTTTTTTTTTTTTTTTTTTTTTTTTGAGACAGAGTCTGGCTTTGTTGCCCAGGCTAGAGTGAGTGCCGTGGCGTCAGCCTAGCTCACAGCAACCTCAAGATGCACATGGGCATTTTCCCTTGTTCTCCCTCACCTCCGCCCCTCCGCACTGCTTGCCTTTGCATCCTTTTTGTGTAGTAGTGTAGAATGAGTGCGGGCAACTGTTGCTCTTTGTCCTCCTTACTTGTGTTCTCTCCTTGGCGTTGAAGAACAGGTTTTCAAGGCGTAGTTCTTCTTTACGTGTCCTAATAAGTCCGGGTGAATGACTCTTGTCCACATTATGGTCCTGCTGGGCAAGGAAGTCTGCCCACTATGACCTGCTGGGGTGGGTGGTCCTTAGATGCCATTAATGGGGATGAGGGCTTAGGTCCAGCAGGCTGGGGAAGAAGCCAAGGCTTCCTTCTGCATTTGAGGTA